GCAGGTGCTGCAACCGAGGCAGAGGTGCACAGAGCTCCATTGTGATCCCACTGCAGCAGCCAGTCAGGGTGGGAGGGAGCCCCACTGCTAGAGGGGCTGCAGAGCCAGCTCTGACCATTATGTTTGAGCAAGGGCTGTGCAAACAGCACTACGTGCTGGGCTGAGGGTGCTACTGCCACTTCTTGTTGGCAGCAGCGGGTTGGAGGTTCAGAGGGACAAATTTGGGTCCAGAGTCTATGTGTGAGGAGAGCTGTGACTCATCAGAGACATGATAGGGGCTGGGGCCTCAGAGCATTGTGCTGTGGTCTCAGGAGACTGATTGGGTGCCCCTTGTAGAGTTCTGGGGTGGGAAGAGAAGATTGAGGTGGATATGATGAGGAAGAGGAGCACAACCAGCTCGTTTCCTTCCCGCACACTTGAGCACAGACACTCTGCCCCTGCACCATCTTCTCGGCTGCCTTCATTCCTTCCTCATGCCCTGTCACCTCTGATGTCCTTTCTCATCTTGCTGCAGGGCCTGAAGAGCTCTGTCTCTTCCCATGGGTTCTGAGAGCACGTTTGTCCCAGAGGGACCAAACAGAATCCCACAGAAAGCCAAGGAGCTGAAGAAGGTGGGGATGGAGTCCCTCATGTGCTGTGGTTTTGGACATGGATGTTTTACCAATGGCAAGGGTGCTCCTGTTTGCACCTCTGAAGACTGGTGACTGTGGTTCGCTGGGGTGCACTGTGGCTGCATGTGAAGGTACATCCCGCACCCCAACATGGAACAGTTTCGTAAGTGGTCCAAATACCAGATGTTAAAACATCCCCTCCTCCAAAAATGCTGGCCAAGGCTGCGGCAGCGGGACTGGAATAGCTGTGTTTGCTGAGCAAGCAGCCACTGTTTGCACAGATGGGACTCATTGGGCTATAGGTGGATTGAACTTTGTTCTGGGAATCATCCGTTACATCTTTTGCTTCCCTCACCTCCGCTGCTTTGGATCCTTTTCTCTACCTTGGGCCAAGGGAATGACCTTCCTCTGGGCCATTTATCATAGAATCCTGAATTGGTTGGGTTTGGAAGGGACCTTAAAGCTGATCCAGTTTCCCCCCTCTGCCGTGGGCAAGGACACCTTCCACTAGACCAGACTGATCCAAGCCCCATCCAACCTGGCCTGGAACACTTCCAGGGATGTGGCATCCACAGTTTCCCTGAGCTAAGTTTTTTGTCTGTCTTTGCAGTCTTATAGCTCTTCCTCACACTTATCCTCTGTATCTTCTGCAATATCCTGACCCAGGGCAGCTGGCAGGACACCTTGGAGGGGCTCCTGTCCCATCAGGCAGGGAAGAAGGGACTAGAAACTGCTGCAAACAGTCTACTGGGACACCACATCCCAGGAGGATCTGTCTCCTCCACCCATCAGTTGATCCCTTCTTTGAAAAGGCAATTTCTAAGTAAGGAGAATGCAGGTCCAGGCTGGGAAGAAGTAAGGAGCTGAGGAACTGAGCCCCAGGAAAGACTAGAGCACTTCAGGATGTTTGGCATTGCAAGGGGAAAAGGGGGAAGCCATAGACCTGGCTTAAAGTGACTTAGGATGAAATACAGATATGAGATTAGATCATAGGGAGTGGAAGAGCTCTGCCGGTGTCTGCGAAGCTGCAGTGGTTTCCACTAGACTTGGAGAGTCTGAAAACCATCTCCAGAGGATGGTCCCTGTGCTCCCAGGCATGGTAGCTCCAGGGAGGGGTTGGCATGATGTCCCCACCCCCAACAGCCCCTGCCCCCCAGGGAGTGGATATCACTGTTCAGAGACCTTTGGGTCTTCTGCAGGAGGTGTCTCTTTCCAGATATTCATCAGCCAATCTGGGAGGATTATTTGTCTTTGAACAACCAACAACAGGACATAGAGCATAAGCCCTTTCTCCATCTTTACATTGCTCCTTAACCTTATCTAATCTTACAGACCATGATCTTCTAGATCTCCCCTGCTTTCCCCTTTACCATCAAAGTATCTAAGTAGGAGATGCATGAACATGAGACTTTGATAACCGTGAACTGGGTAAGGGCTGAATTAAAGGAAAAAAAAGAAAAGAGGGATCTTTCCTCAAACTAGGAACCAGTCTTGCCATGTGTTAGAGTTCAAAGAGCAGTCCTGGGTCAAACTGTATGAGTAGAAGGAGCTGCAGTTCCTGGAGAGGAGGGCTGTGTCTTGTGCCTAAGATGCTGGAGTTTGCTTTTTGGCTCAGTACCCTGCTGATGAAGACTGCAGATGCAGGAAAGTGACTTTAGCAGACTCAGAATCCCACTGAAATCCTTCAGGAGATGATGATGTCCAAGGTTTGGGTTGGGATACTGCTCCCTGGTTTGTCCCCTCAAGCCAAGACCCTGAGTGCTACCAGTGCAGGAGCTGGCACAGGAGGTGGCCACAGTCCCGAACTCAAGGTGCCCTGGGGGGAATGTCCCTGCCATGGGACTCTGGCCACGGCACATCCTCTGTGTTTCCCCTCCAGCCTTTCTGCCTCCACCTCTTTTATTTTTAAGCAGTCACCTGTGACCAGAAGAAATTGCACCATGGCTGCTGGATAAATAAGCAGGCAGTACTTTGGCATTTGTGAGCACAGTCGAGGTAACCCCAAACCGCTCCAGGTGCCCTTAAAATCAGGACAGCTCAACTTGCAATCAGTTAATCCTTTAACTCAGCTTGGATTGCTGATGATGGGAATAACCTCCGCTGGCCACCAGGCAGGTGAGTGCTCTGTCTGAGCCACCACCTGTGTCCTCTACTGTGTCCACAAAATACTCCATGTTACCTCTGCTATAATTATCATCTGAAGGTGTCAACACCCTGGGATGAGAGAGGCAGTCTAGATGTAACTTTTAGAGGGCTAAACCAGAGCAAGATGCTCCCTTCTTTTGCCTTCCCCTATTTATTAAATTCTCTGTCACAGCCAGAGCCTGCAAGTGTTGCTAAGAGAAATATTATGCTAATGAGTAAAAAGCTGGTTTTTCTTTTGGTATAAAACTTGCCCCTGAGAAACTGTTTGCTGCTGTGCTCTGATAATCCGTATATCATGAAAATCTAGCATTTCTTGTGGTAGACGAGGAAGGAGACAAAGTTTGGTGGCCCCAGCTTCCCTGCTGTCATTACACAAGTCTGATGACCTTGACGAAAGGCCTGGTCTTTTCTGGGGGATTTCCCACCTCAAGGGGAATGTGCAAAAGGAACAAATATCTTGCTTGTAACAGGATCTCCACAAAGCCTTTCCTGCTGTTTGTTCGTGTTATGTCTCCATGGCATATTTATAGAAGATAGTGTTGATGTCAGCTTGGGGCTGTGGGACTCCTGCAAGGGCCAGGACTTAGTAGAAACATTCGGTTTGATGGAAAAATCCTACTGCTGCATCCAAAACAATCATTGCCCAGGATAAAGTGGGCTGTAAATGGACTGAAGTATGGGATCAAAGCCCTACAAGAGAGTTGTGGTCTTTTCTATTCCCTGGTCTAACCAGGAGATAGCTTTGTGTTCTTGCCTATGTGCCAGAGTACTGCAAGGGCTGCCTGCTCCCAAAGGAAGCACCCCAGCCTGATCCTTTTCCATCACAGCCTCCATCCAAGGTGAGCAGGATGGGCCCTGGAACAACAGCTGGGCTCAGCACAGAGTCCAGATCCCTAGGGAAGATGGAGGTGAAGAGGCAGATCTGAGGTTGGGATCGGGTCTGGGGACAATAACAGGCTTGGACACAGCCGGGGGACCACCAGGCGGGTCCAAGGTCTGGCTGACAAGTCTGTCTGTGGCTTGTGGTTGGAACCATCAGGGCCATGGCCAGGCAGGGACAGAGCTGTGGTGGAGCTGGGGACCAGTGCTCCTGCAGCATTGCTCTGTGAGGGGCTGATGGGCTGAGCATGAACAGGCTCCTGGAAGATTGTTGGTGGAGGCCCCCAGTGAGGCTGAAAATTAGGAAAGATGGGGCTGTAAGGGCTGGTGACGCCTTCAGGTAAGGGATATCTCTTACACAGCTGACCAGTGTTTCTCCAAGGCTTGTTCTCTCTCTGCCCTCGGCACGTGGTTCCTGGCACACTCTGTCTGTGGTGTCAGTCCAGGTTCTGCCAGGCAGAGGAGTGGCAGGACTTGCTGCCTGCGGTGGATGCCACTGGCAGACACAGGTGATGGGAGGAGAGTGTGGGTGATCAGAGGGGTGCAGGTGGAAGGGCAAAACCTCTGGTGAAGGGGAGAACAATAGATATCAGCTCAAGTCTAGCAAGGCTGTGGACATGTGGACTGAGCCCCTCAGTCACTGCCAGTGACCAGACTCCCCCAAAGGAGTTCATTTTCCCTTTCTATTGCGATTCAAAGGAAATTCCAGTGGAATGAAGCCATTACAGCCCATACAGCACCCTTGCCTAGGACATAACCGATAATTGCTCATCTCTGATCATTGTACAACAGTGATCGTTGTTGCCCAGAGAGGTTGCGAATTCCCCATCCCTGGAAGTGTTCAAGGCCAGGTTGGATGGGGCTTGGAGCAACCTGGGATAGTGGAAGGTGTCCCTGTCCATGGCAGGGGGTGGGAACTCGATGAGCTTTAAGTTCCCTTCTAGCCCAAACCATTCTAGGATTTTATGATTACACCTACAGAGCGCAGCCACGTCCCTCCATCTTATGCAACTTTTAGCAAAGCATCTGGAGTAAGAATTTTTTCTTGTTCCTTCCTTATTCTTGCAACACTTTTCAGGAGCTGTTAGGGCCACATCACTCTCTAGCTGGGCTCTGCAATCACATTCTGAGAGAGGGCTGCTGCAACCCGCTGGCCACCCCATCCCAGAACTCCCTCTGGGGGACCAGCCCCAGCCAGACCTGTGCCCTGAAGCCCCTACACCTCTGCCTAGGTTTTCTGCTCCTTTATCCCTGCAGCTGGAAATGCCAGGAAGATTAAAATGCCACAGGAGTCCAAAAGCCCTCAGGAGGGGGTTTGAAATCTGCTCAGCTTGGCCTTTTGCTCCCCCCTCTCTTCTCCTCCCAGACCTCTTAACAGACCCAAGACTTTTATTGTTTTCACATTGCAAAATAGTAATTACTGGAAAGGACAAGGTGGTTTGAGAGCCAGGGTCCAGCAGTGCCTCAAGGCTGTGGCAGCCCCGGCTGTCCAGGCAGTGAGGATGGGAGGAGCCATTCCCCTCTGATTTTATCTTGATGAGAACATCTTGACCAGGGACCAGGAAACTAATTCCTCTGTCACCTAGGAGTGAGAGGATGCACTGAGAGGTCAGGCCTGCCTGTGGGCTCCTCAGAGATTCCTGAGCAGGGCAGGTGTTTCACCCATGGTATGGTGCTCACCAGCTGGCAGGGAAGAGGTGCCCTCCCAGGTCCTGGATCCACTATTTACTCACAGGTGTCATACTCTGCTCTTGACCTCCAAAGGGTGAGTTGTTTGCACAGCTTGTGATTGCTGCATGGTCAGATCTGCCTTTGAAAATCTCAAGAGCAGAAGGAAAATTAATTTAACTAAAGTTCAAGGAGTCTCTGTTATTCCAAAGCCTTATTTCCATTAATTCCCTTTAATGCTGCTTTAAAATTACAGAGTGGAAGGGAATGTTGGCCAACAAATTTTTTTGTGGTTTCAAAACAACCACTATTAATCAGCAGGGAGTTGTATTGGCTGTAAAAGTGTTTAAATGGGAAGGTGGCTTCAACCAGGACCCGTGTAACAGCGTGTGGTTGAGGTGACAGATTAAAAATTAGCTATTGTGAGGCTCCCCACATGGACAGGGGCTTGGAATTAATGATTATCATGAATTAACTAACTGGAAAGGGGCTGAACAGCAAGTGGTAGAGTTCAGCTTGACCCACTGGTGAGCTGACCCTCTTCCCGTTCATTTAATGCCCAAATCTCATTTCTGGCTGGAGCAGCTCCCTAAGAGCTCCAGCCCCTGGGTGCAGCGGTGGGTGGCCATGCCAGTCCAGCTGGGCTGTCTGTGGGCTGTGGAGGACAATGAGAGGTTCAGTCCCTGCTCCCTGGGACAGACCCAGCAGTCAGAGCTGCTCCAGCAGCTGGCCAGCGCTGCCAGCCCAAGGGTTTGTACTGCCAGCCCTGCTCCGGGAAGCTGGTTCACAAGTTTTCCCTTCCTGGTATCTCCCTTTGCTTTCTCCTTTTGTGTCCTTTTGTCTGCTGGCTTCTGCTACCTGCTCCACCAGCAGCTCTGTGCTCACAGCTCCTGAAGAGTCACTGTTGGTCCACCCAAATCAAGAGCATTAGCAGCAGGCACAGAGCTGCTCCCCTGGCTGCATCTGCCAGGATCTTCCTTATGCTGGACAGTGCTGTCCCCCTGCTCCTTTGGCACCCAGCTGGGTGTCCCCTTATGGTGGCAGACTGGCAGTGGCTCACCCCCAGGTTCACCTTGTGCTTCTTCACTCTTCCTCCCCTCTCACTACAAGGCCTTCTTGGCCAGCTCCACCACCACCACCATCTCTGTCCCCTTCCTGGTGTCCTGGGCTCGGTGACCGCAGGGGAATGTCCCTGCTCACCCTCCTGCTCCCTCGTCCCTGGATGTGTGCACGGGGGCTCATGTGAGCCACAGCTCCCTCCCCCGGGAAATAAGCCACCTTTCCCCCTGTTCTCACGCAGCCACAACTCTGGGATGGTCCAGCATCTCATTGTGAGGACATGCCCTTGTGGAAACTGTCTGGCGGGTCCCACGGAGCTGGACACAACCATTCTGTGGACAGAAGCGTTGTGCAACTGCCAGGTGTGTGCCCTCGCAAGGGACCTAGGGGTCCTGTGGGAGAGGAGCTGAGGGTGCTGTGGCCACACAGGGCACCTGGCACTCCTGCCATTTATTTCCCAGATATCAATTTTTACTGGTTTGTTCCCACTGATCTTTGGTAAATATACAGGAAGCAGGGCTGGCTGTTACCAGGCTTCAGCTGGTGTCTTTGCAAGTGTGTCTTCAGCAGGAATAATTAACCCACTATATATTTCTGCCTTTTCTTCCTAAATCCCTTCATGAATATCACAGCTCCCAAGGTTGCACAGAGTTTCTGTTAATCCTGTTAACCTTTGGGTTAACTAAGCAAACTGGGATCCTTCATTAGGAGGAATGGCACTAATTGCATATCCAAGAGGGTGAGTTTTGCGTGAACCACTGGCTGGTGGAGCAGAAACCACTGCTGACTTCAGCAAGGGGGCTGGGGAGTTAGAGGAGGCCTGCTTGGGAAAGAAGGTCAAGAAAACCTGTTTCCTCACCGATGCTGGAGCAGCTGGTGTTTGCTGGAAGGGGAATGTGCACAGGGGGGATGGGGGGCAGTGACGCTGTCCTGCAGACCTGGTGTGCAAGGCAGAGAGGGTCAAGCTGCTGGTACCTGGCTGTTGAGCTGACATTAGTTTCCAATCTAAGAATGTAAATCTGTAATGGCATGGCATAGTAAGCAGCTCTGACAAGAGGCCACAGTCTGCAGCTGGGCTTAGTGCTCCCAGCCAGGAAGAGCGGCTTAGGGTCGACAGAGAGCTCTTTGTTTGCCCTGTGCAGTTTAGAAATTAGGCAATACTTAGAAGCAATGCTTAGAAGCAAATATTGGTTCAAACAACATCAGCTCCAATTCTCCAGTGGCCAGTTCGGCTCATCCCGGGTAGAAAACAGCATTTTGCAACAGTTAAAACCTGACACCAAGTATTTCTCCTAACCAGTGGGGAAACGGGTTTGTTGCATTTCCTGAAAAATAAACCAAGGACAGTGACTCTGGAGTTGGAGCACAGCCCTAATATTGACCCATGACTCCAAACAGGGGCTGAAAGCCTGTTTCTGGAAAGCCAGCCACAGCTCTCCAGGTATCTGTCAGGTCTTGGGAGCCACGGGGAATGCCAAGCTGGTCCCAGTCCATCATCAGCCAAGGCCACACTCTCAGAGCTGGCACTCCCACACTGTGGCTTACAGCTGCTGCAAGCCCTATGCTGGCCTGGGCTCCAGGGGAAAAGTGACTCCCTCTTCCTGGAGAGACTTGGCATCGGGCAGGAGGGCTGGGATTTCCCCCGGGTTCTTGCAATGGCCAGGTAAACCAGCTGTGCAGAAGCCCCTTGACTTCCCCCTGCTCCTCCTGGGTACCTGAACATTGAATTACAGAATGGTTTGGCTTTGAAAGGACCTTAAAGCTCATCTTTTTCCAAACCCCTGCCATGGGCAGGGACACCTTCCACTAGCCCACGTTGCTCCAAGCCCTGTCCAACCTGGCCTTGGACATTTCCAAGGATGGGGCAGCCACAGCTTCTCTGGACAACCTGTGCCAGGGCCTCACCACCCTCACAGGGAAAAATTTCTTCCCAATATCTCCTCTAACCCTGCCCTCTGGCAGTGTAAAGCCATTCCCCCTTGTCCTGTCACTCCATGCCTTGTCCAGAGCTCCTCTCCAGCTCTCTTGGAGCAACTTTAGGTGCTGGAAAGGGCTCTAAGATATCTCTGGAGCCTTCTCCTCTCCAAGCTCACAACCTTTCTCCACAGCAGACATGTTGAGCCCTTTGACCAGCTTTAAGGTCCTCCTCTGGACTGGCTGTAACAGACCCATGTGTGGCTTCCACTGGGGACCCCAGAGCTGGACCCAGTGCTGCAGGTTGGGTCTCACCAGAGCAGCATCACCTCCCCTGAGCTTCGGCCCACACTGCTTTGGGTGCAGCCCAGGAGACACCTTCCTTTCTGGGCTGCAGTTGCACAGTGACAGCTCATGTCCAATTTGTCACCCACCGGTACCCCAAGTCCTCCTCCTCAGGGCTGCTCTCCATCCGTTCACCACCCAACATCACCGTCTCCCATCTCTTGAGATGGGTACCCTTGCCAGTTGAATGCCAGTCTCAGTCTTATGCCCCACCCTGGGCTATTGACAGAGGAGCAGGGAAGATGATCTGGGAACCATTTCCCATCAGGCTGCTCTTCCTGGCTTCACCTTAATGTGACATGTGGGGTCGGGACAGGACAAGAACTTGAGCCCAGCTTTCGTCGTTGACCACACTGACATCCTTGTCCAGCCTTCTCCGAGCCACAAACCACAAATTCCCATTTCTAGAAGGAAACAAGTCAACTCTCTAGAGAAGCCCAAACTCCTGATGGGTATATATTGCCCTCTGCCCTCAGCCTGCCCCACCTTGAGGTTCAATTGTTTCCTTAATTTTTTTTTCTTTCCGTTTCCAGTGCTTTTTTCTCCTCAGCCTCCCAAGGTGAGCTGGGTCTTCATTACACGACTGGCAGCCTGGTGACCCCTGGGAATAGCAGCATTAACTCCAAAGGCCTCTACTGCTGGATATGGACACTTTTATGGAAATAACTGCTCCAAAGAGTTGGGTGAGATGCCTGTGCTGGCTTGATGCCTTGATCACAGCTTTCCCTCTCCCTGGTTGATGTTTTCCACATGCATGCACACAACTAGAGCTCTGATCCAGCCTCCATTCAGCTGCACTGGCTCCAGGATGAGCTCACTGTGACAAAGCCAAGCCCTCTCCCACATGGCCATGTCAGCTCTAACTTTATCCCAGCCCAGCTACAACAAACGTTCTTTCCTTAGGACACAACCAAAACTCCAGTCCAGCCTTGTCTCAACCACAAACCACAGTGCACACATGGGCTTTGCAGTAATGAGGGAGATGTGGAAATAAGCAGTATTATTTTACCTTCTGTTTTACTTGGCATTGTTCTGTCCCTGGGGTTCAGCTGTGTTTATACATCGCCAATGACCCGTGGTTGGGCAGAGGGTGTGCTAATTTGTATTTCTTCATCAGTCATGTAATTTTTAGCAGCATCCTCTTTTGGAAAACAGAACAGCAGGGATGTGTAGTGTTGCAATGCAACGAACTTGGGATATGTAACAATAATTCCGGTCGTTTCATGAAGATAGGCACTACAGAAGGGTTGGTGCTTTCTGGATAACAGGGACAAAGTCTGAGGGGCATCGACTTAGCTCTGTCCTTTCTGGTAAAGAATTTCCATTGTTACTAAGAATTGGCCCTTGCTGATCAATCTCAGCTTAGTCAGCCAGATACATGTATTTGGGCATGGGAGGAGCCCTCTCCAGCAAGGTATGGATGTGACCAGAGCTTGCAGAGAGGGGTCTGTGAGTATTTAGTGAGAGAGAGGACCCACCATGTAACTAAACGTGCATTTTCTAACACAAAATTTGGCAAAGCAGCTGTCTGATAGATGTTGAGGGGAGGAAGTTGATTGCACCATGAAGTTTGTCCCTCCTGGACTCTAAAAGGAAGGCCTTTTGCAGCTGGAGGCCATACAGAATACTTTGCCTTTTCCATCCAAGGCTTCCCTTGGTGGGAGCAGCCTGGGGGCCTGTTGGGTCCTTTGGAGATCAAGGTCTGAGCCTTCAGCTCAGGTGGCCTATAAGACACATCACCAACCTGCTGTGCTTCTGCCATGGGGTATTTCCAAGGCAAGCTGTGTGTTGGAAGAGTTTCTTCTCCGCAGACTGGAGCAGCAGATCTTGGCCACAGGAGGCAAAGCCACCGAAGGAGCAGCCACCAGATGGGTGCACACCAGGAGGAGAATGGAATCCATCCTGGAGAAAGGTAGGATTTGATAGCACCAAAAGGAGACCCAGAAGCAGCTCTGTAGGTGGCTGGTGCCATTCCAGATGACTAGTGACATTTGGAATTCCAGGAAGTTACTGGAGGACAAGAGGCAAACATTGTAATCCAAGCCTCTTCCTTCATTCCTGGATTTGCCCCAGTGCCATCTGGGAGAACAAGGGGAAGAGATGTGGAGTGAAAACCACCCATCACATCAGCACAGTGTGCACTGGGATGCAGGTGAGACTTGAGAAGGGAGGCAGGACTAGTGGGTGGTCCATGTAAAAAGATCTGGGAACCGTGTGCAACAGGCAAGATAGTTTGGGCTCTTCCAGCAACTGTTCTGTTGTTTCAATGGATCCTTTATGTTTTCCAAGCTTTCTTCTTTATCCTTTTCCTTCATCTGTCATGTGGCACAAATACCTTTATCCTGTCTGGATAGCGCTGTAACTGCTTAGCTTGTGGAGTCAAGATGTCCAAAGATTTTCACCATTATGTGCCCAGATATCTTTGATGTTTCAGAGGCACTGCATTTTCTAGGCTCTCTCAGGATATCTGTTGGAAGAGGCATTTTGGAACAAATCAGCAAAAAACTATGGAAGAACCTGTGCCTCTTTCCACAGATGGGAATGTTGCTAAGGCTACCCTGAGTGAGAAAGGGATTGGTGAGACCCACAGGAAGCTGGGGATGGATTTCAGTGGCATCTGCCAGTCTCAGCAGAGGATGACCTCGGAAGGCCACAGCTTGCTGGAGTAAATATGGACAGCGGATCTCTTAAAAGGGAAGACAGGCTTGAGGTGGGAGAAAGTCAATCCCCCAAAGCTGCAGTGTGTTTGGAGATGCTCTGCACACAAGAAGTGCTGCTCTTCCGGGAAAGCAGGGGATGAAGGAATGAGAAATAGGAACTATCCATGCTGAGGGAACTGCTACAGATGATGTGGAATAACCAGTGTCCATGAGCACCTCTCGCTCAGGCACAGGCAGGGCAGGCTCCCGGTGCCATGGTGGGGGTGGTCGTTGCCTGAGGGTCTCCAGCAGCCCCCTTTCCTGGGTCACCCTGTAGAGCCATATCCCTGACCTGGCACTGGGCTCCCGCCTGCGCTGAAGCCACTCTGGCCACCACCACCCATCTGCAGCTCCCTTTGCTCTGGGCCTGCTGGAGGAGGGAAGGAGAGACAACCCAGCCATGTAAGAGGGTGAAGGCTACGGGGGAGGAAGGACCTGTGCAGGGAATCCAGGAGATCCTCTCTCCAAGGGAGGGCAGTGCTCTTGAGACCAAGCCTGGGAGCTGGACCTCCCTGCTGGGCCTCCAACAGCACTCTTTGTAGCTTATGTTGGGTGGGCACCGTGGGTGGACCAGCCCTAGCAGTTATCTAGAGGGCTGGTGTGGTCCAGGGGCTCTCAGATTGTGTGCC